TGTTTAATTTTCTTTGTCTCCTAGCTGGCTTTATATATTTGGGATATCCTTTCATTCAGGAAGTATTCATTGAACATGTCGGATATATATAGATATTTACACAGAATGGTTAATCAATTAGACATGTTTCTTGCTCTCAAGGGATCTACTCTAATGGATCACTAGCCACATTAGAATTATTGCCTATGCATTTTCTATAGCATAAATAAAACATTTTATAAATGCTAACTTAAATCTCTGATTAGATCAGATTTAAGCATTACTCTCAGAATACCCTTTAATGATAAAAATTCTTAGCATACCATTTTTCCTAGATTTAGTTAAAGAGGTTTATGGACTACATCAGAATTTAATATTTTTCTTTGATAACTGAGGCTCTTGAAACCCTCAAAGTCATCTGTCTGACCATTAATCCTCATTACACAGAATAACCTGTTGATTATAAACTTCTCAATTACATATAATCAAGCACTGCATCTAAGGTCTGATTGAGGATTTTCCCACAGGAACTGTTCTTCTCTTCCAGATGACCAGCATTTTCCTGTCGTAGTGGTCTTCGCTACCACTCATCTGTCAGTTTGTAATATTGTGCTGGCTTGGGTGTTACTGCGATGCTGGTGGCTATGCCACCCATTTTTTAAATATCAGCAGAGTTACCCAAGATGGACCTGTTTCAGCAGCACTTCTAAACTAAGACAGACTAGGAAGAAGGAGAGGCGGATCATTTCTAAATGTTTAGCCACTGAAAACCTTATGAAAGGCAGCAAACAGTGCCAGAAGAGGAGTCCCTCAAAATGAGCTCACACATAACAATTGTGAGGATGGCATAGGCCCACGGAGTGTTTCATTCTGTTATGCAAAGGGTCACTATGAGTTGGAACCAACTTCACAGCACCTTACAACAAATGGTCTTCAGCTGCATGCAACCCCATCCCCCAATAACAATAGCACTTAAAAACAACATTGCCATCTGGCTGCACCTTCACCACTCTACACAGAGCTAACCTGAAAATTTTCCCTCACAGGAATAAGCTCTGGTAGTGTAGTCATTACGAGTCAGGCTGCTAACTTTATGGTCAGCAGTTCTGTAGGAGAAAGATGAGGCTTTCTGCTCCTGTAAAGATTTACAGCCTCGGAAACCCTGTACAGGGTCGCTATAAGTCGGAACTGACTCCACACACCACCACCACCACTATACAGGAACAATAAACCAGTATAACCGATTTTGCGTATACAGAAAATTACAGCATAAAAGTCAAAATGAGAATTATAAGCATTCCCCTTGGAAGTTCTTTACTTTCAAGTAACCTTAATATCAACATTGCTCGTTCTCTGTCATAAAAGACAAAAAATTTCAACTATAAATTTAATTTTGAGTATGTGAATTAACACAATTTTGTAACAGAAAAGAAACAAAATTTCACAATGTACTGCAATTTTAAAGCTTTCATAAAATAACAGCCAAAACCCCATATGTGGGCTTAAACCTTATATTACAAAATTTTAGGCTCTGAGTTCTATTTTTTTATTGCAAACAGAGCACATGCTCATTGGAAACGAATCTGAGCAATGTAAGTATACAATGTCAAAAGAAAACCACTACCACACCATATCCCCAAGCCATCACAAACCCTTGGCCCAGCCAACCTCCTTCCTCTGCCTCCTAATACTTCCCAGGGTTCCTGAGGAGATACCCATAAAAAGTATAATTTATATTTTCTATGAATAAATCATTTAAAATTTCAGACCAAAAAGTCCAAGTACTAAGAATCAACTGGTAACCAGAATTTCCTGGGGCCATGCTTATTTCTCTATAGGAAATGGCATTTGACATTTAAAATCTATATACAAATTATATACCAATAATGAGCAAAAGAAATCACTTTACTCAGTATCTATGAGGGGGCTTCAAAATGTTCATGGCTAAAGAATACAGCACATTAAACTGTTTAATAAAATACTTTAGAAACTGTTTCTAATATTACCTGTTCCAGTCCACACTGAGTGACCATCAGTAAGTGTAACAACATAACCAGATCCTAGTGTTTTCTCCCAAGATACTTGTAGAAAATGAATTATATTGGGTTCAGAAGCAAGATAGATTCTGCTTACTTTTCTCTCCATTCTCTGGTCACCTATTACAGAAGAACAAAATTAACATTTTTAATAAGAAATCATGACTATCAGTAGTGATATTTTCTTTACTGGTCTCTCAGATATAGAAAACAGCAAAGAAATAAGTAAAGCAAAAAACCGTATACTAAAGTTAGTCAACCACTGACCTCGGTTAAATCAATTTTGTTCAATATAGATTCAATTGTTTGACAGATGAGAAAAGCAGATACCTATCCATAGTAAATGAGCTGTCCAAATCATGAAATTGAATAAAAATTACTATCTCCAGGAAGATGAAGATAATGTTTACCTTTTCCTATCCTCATGAGTCAATAGAATCTTTCACTGGAACAAAAGAAATGATGTGTGTGGCCTGGGAGTAGCCTCAAGACTGGAACACAACTGTAATTACTGAGGATAAATTTAGTCAAGTCTCTGTCTGAAGAAAGACTTGTGAAAATCTCAGACCCCAAGTGTTATCAGTCATGCCTTCTCTTAGAAGGGGTGCCCAGGCTCATTAACTCAAACACTCTGGCCACTGGGACAGGAGATCCCTGTAATAGAGATGGGTTATATGGCGCTATCAAACTGAAGACAATAACTGTCTTTGCAGTTTAAAACATATTCAAGTACATGTGCACACAGAAAAGTACATATATATTTAAGTAAAATATTCAAATTGAACAACATATGCAATGCCTAGGTCAAAAAGTAAAATATTACCACTCCAGAACTCATTCTAATATTCTCTTGCAGCCTCTCCTGATAACCACTAGTGTGACTTCTAACGGAGGTTTGAGTTATTAGACTTTTTCTACTTTATGTAGTAAGAATAGTACAGCATGTCCTCTTTGTGTCTGGATTCTTTTCTCTGAGAGATTTATCCAACTGTTTCTTAAAATTAAAGATCATTCTAATGGCTGTATAGTATTCCCTTGTATGCATATATTATCATTTATTTATGCATGTTTCTACTTGTAGGAAACTAATAATATTGAGTTCAGAAGTAACACAGATTCTGCTTACTTCTCTGTCCATTCTAGGGTCACATGTTATATGAAAACCAAAAAACCATCAAGTTGATTTCAATTCATAGTGACTCTATATAAAGGTTCTGAGACTGCAAATCTTTACGAAATCAGATAGTCTCATCATCCTTCCCCATAGTGCCTGGTGAGTTTGAACCTCCGGCCTTGCAGTTAGCAACCCAATATTTATCCCACAGTGCCACTAAGTCAGCTGTTAAAGAACAAAATTAGCATTTTTTCAAGAAACTGCATTTGGACATTTGGGTAGTTTCCAACTTCTAACTACTAAAATAATGCTGCTATAAGTATCCTAACAAATATCTAGGCATATGCTGGGTATATGAGAAGTGGGATTGCTGGATCACAGAATATATGTTTAATTTTAGTCCTATAGTGCTAAACACATTTCCAAATTATTGTATGCATTTATTCCATGTATATTAATTTACTCTCAGTATATGAGAGATTGAAGTTGTCCAAAACTTCATCTTGCTTGGCTCAATCATCAACACTCATGGAAGGAGCATTCAAGAAATCAAGTGACATATTGCATGAGGCAGATCTGCTGCACAAAACCTCTTTAAAGTGTCGAAGAGCAAAGATGTCAGTTTGAGGACTAAGGTTCACATGACCCAAGCTATTGTATTTTCAATAAGCTCATATGCATGTGAAAGTTAGACAGTGAATAAGGAAGACCATAGAAGAACTGATGCATTTGAGTTATGGTGTTAGAGGAGAATATTAAAAGTGCCATGGACTGCCAAAAGAACAAACCAATCTGCGTTAGAAGTACAATCAGAATGCTCCTTGGAGGCCAGGATGACCAAATTTCATCTCTCATATTTCGGACATACTGTCAGGAGGGAACAGTCCCTGGAGAAGGATATCATGTTTGGTAAGCTGGAGGGTCAGAGAAAAAGATTTTATAGTCTTGGAAACCTTATACAAGGTCTCTATGAGTCTGAACCCATTCAAAGGCACACAAACACCACCACCAGGCAGTTCAGAGTACTTTCAATATTCTTCGACAACTGTTGTTGTTTTTAAGTACCATGGAGTAGGTTTCGACTTATAGTGCCCTATATAATGTTTTCTGAAGACGGACTGATGAGTTTGAACCATGAACTTTGCAATTCAAATAGACCTTGTGGTCCAGCACTTATCCTAAAGTCCCACACCAAGAATCCTTCTCCAATACTACAATTCAAATGCATTGATTCTTCGCCAGTCTTCCTTATTCACTGTCCAGATTTTACATGCATGTGAGGCCATTGAAAATACCAGGGCTTAGATCAGGTGAGCATAAGTCCTCAAACTAACATCTTTGTTCTGTAAACACTTTAAAGAAGTCTTTTTCAGATTTGTGGAATATAATATACCCTTTGATTTCTTTTTATTCCTTTATTTAACAGAAATATTTTTATAATAAAAAGAATGCAGTTACTGTATAAATTTGGAAAATAGAGAAACAAACAAAATGGGCAGGGTATAGAATCTTTATCATTCTAATTCATGGGATAGTATGGATTACTAGCTACTAACATTTTGTTTTTCTACTTTTGGAGTGGTGCTGTGGGTTAATGCACTGGATTGCAAGGTCTCTTTGAACCTCAAGGTCAGTAGTGCAAGCTTACCAGTCACTCCTCGGAAACTCTATACAGGGTCACTATAAGTCAGTACCGACTCGACAGCATTAATAACAACAGTACAAAGCAACCTTCAAAAAAAATATTTCTAAATATCGTAATTCACTTGAATGTCTGTTTTAGTGAAGTGTCTATGTCCTCTGCATCTTTTTTAACTGGATTATTTCTCTTCTTTTTCTTGGGTGATGAAGTGTTCCATAAATTTTAGACAGTAATCTCTTGTTTGATATGTCATGTCAAATATTTTAACCAATATGTAGGCTCTGTTTTGACTTTCTGGGTGGAAATTTTTGGTGACAAAAGTGTCTAATTGTTAGGGGACCCCAGTCATTTATTTTGTCTTCTGCTGTTTATGTGTTTCCAGTTATGTTTGGTAGTGTATTTATAACAAGAATCAGAGCACCTAAGTTTGTCCCTAATTGTCACTGATAATGTTTATAGTTCTAGGTGTTTAATTCATGTTAAGTTTTTTTTTGTATATTGTGTGAGATATGCATCTCTTTTACTTCTTCAGAAAATGGATTTCCAGTTTTGCAAGCACCACTATCTTTCAAATTTATGCTCTAACCACTAAACCAGTGATGATGAAATTAAAAATTCAACCAGCTTCTTCAGTCTGAAGCTGATCAAACATGTAATCAAGATGGACTGATAATTACTGGTGATTGGAATGCAAAGGTTAGAAACAAAGAAGGATCAGTAGCTGGAAAATATGGTCTTGGTGATAGAAATGATGCAGAAGACTGAATGATACAATTTTGCAAGACTAATGACTTATTCATTACACATACTTTCTTTAACCAACATAAAAGATGACTGTACACATGGACATAATAAGATGAAATACACAGAAATCAAATTTACTACATTTGAGGAAAGAGACAAGGGGCAGAACTATGGAAGACACTATCAATTACTCATATGCAAGTTAAAACTGAAGCTGAAGAAAATTTAAACAAGTGCACGAGAGTCAAAATATGACCTTGAACATATACCACCTGAATTTAGAGATCATCTCAAGAACAGATTTGTTGCATTTGACACCAGTGATCGAAGATGAGAAGAGTTGTAAGATGACTTCAAAAACATTGAACAATAAGAAAACAAAAGGTAATTAAGAAGGCAAAAAAAGAAGGAAAAGACCAAAATGGATGTCAGAGGATACTCTGAAACTTGTTCTACAGTGTAGAGATGCTAAAACAAACAGAAGAAATGAAGAGGTTAAAGAGTTGAACTGAAAAATGTAAAGGGAAGTTCGAGAAGACAAAGTCTACTATTATAATAAAATGTGCAAAGACCCAGAGTTAGAAAACCAAAGGGTTGAACATGCTCAGCATTTCTCAACCTGAAATTTCTAAAGAAAAAGTCCAACTTGAAAGATTAGTTGGCTCGTTATGTACCGTGGAGTCAGTTTAGATTCTTAGTGACCCTGTATGTGTAGGGTTTCCTAGGCTATAAATCTTTATGGGAGCAGAAAGCCTCATTTTTCTCCCAACTGCTCAGCTTAAGGTTAGCAGCCCAACCCGAAACCACTACGCTACCAGAGCTGCTTATTGAAGGATTACATAAGAAAAATATTGAATGATGCAGAAAGCATCAAAAGATTAAATATACAGAATCACAGTACCAAAAAGAAGTTTCATATGTTCAACCATTTCAATAAGCAGTATATTATCAAGAGCCAATGGTAATACATTCAGGCAGCCAATAAACATATGAAGAAATGTTCATGATCATTAGCAATTCAAGAGTTGCTAATCAAAACAATAATTAGGTATCATCTCAAACCAGCATTAATATCAAAGTTAAAATAATAGAAAAGGACAAATTCTGGTGAGGGTGTGAGGAGACTGGGACCCTTCTACACTGCTGGTGAGACTGTAAAATTGTTCAACCCCTTTGGAAAATAGTCTGGTGCTGTCTCAGAAAGTCGCAAATAGAAACACCACATGACCCAGCAATCCTGCTACTTGGTATATATCCACAAGAAATATGAGCCAGGACACGAGTAGATACATGCACACCAATGTTCATTGCAGTACAGTTCACAAATGCAAAAAGATGAAGCAGGCATAAGTGTCCATTAATGGAAAAGTGGATAAATAAATTTTGGTATATACACACAATGGAATACCATGCAGCCTTGAAGAATACCAGTGAATCTGCAAAACACATCTCAACAAGGATGAACGTGGAGGAAATTATGCTTAGTGAAATTAGGCAATCATAAAAGGGCAAATCATTATCATAAAAGCTTAATAAAAGGTTTCCATATTAAAAGAAACATCCTGTGATGGTTACCAGGGGTGGGGGAAAGGTGAGAGTAATTCACTGT